TTATCGAGCAAGTTTTTATGCATTGGACACCCTTCCAGCCGCAACCCATCCCTGGGAAACATCCACACACACATTCAGACACACACTCATACACTACGGACAATTTAGCTTACCCAACTCACCTGTACCGCATGTCTTTGGACTGTGGGGGAAGCTGGAGCACCCAGAGGAAACTCACACGAAGGCAGGGAGAACATGCAAACTCCACACAGAAAAAACAACGAGACGAGGTTCAAACCAGCGACCGTCTTGCTGTGAGGCGACAGCACTACCTACTGCACCACTGCCTCGCATGTCATGTTCAAAGTCACTCAGTGCCTAAATGCACTGAGTTGGTGTCATGTAATTGGCTGATTAGAAATTTGCATTAAATGCGTTAATTGCGTTAAAGCAGTTGGACAGGTGTACCTAATAAAGTGGCCAGTAAGTGTACAGGCATGTCTTCATGAGATTCACCTTTGGACATTATTGTTGTATTTGAAGTAACTGAGTCATTACAAACCACCTCACGCCTACTTTACAAAACGCTTCAAACCAATATACTTTTCTCTTTTTTTTTTTCAAAACATTCAGCTATGTTTAAGCATAAAAAACAAGTCCCCTAGAGCAGTGTTTCTCTAATCCTGAAGGACCACCAGCTCTGCACATATTCCATATCTCCTTAGCCAAACACATCTGATTCAGATCAACAGCTCATTAGCAAAGACTGAAAGACCTGTAATGGGTGTGACAGACAAAGGTGACTTCCAAAACATGCAGTGTTGGTGGTCCTCCAGGAAAGTGGTTGAGAAACACTGCCCTAGAGTTAAACAGATGAGTTTTACCATTTTTAAATCCAATTGTTAAATCTCCAGGCCTGGAAATGATCACTTTAACTTAGCTACGCATAAATCATTGAATTGAATTAGACCTTTAGCATCACGCTCACAAAAAAAAAAAAAAAAGAGTTTTGATAATTCTACCTTTTAAAGCTGGACTCTTCTGTAAATAGGAATATTATCAGAAGTCTTTATTGCATTTTTTTAGGTGAGATGCTAATGGTCTAATCTGATTCAATGATTTATGCTAAGCTAAGTTAAAAGAGCCAGACCTTAATTAGATTGACTGAAGGGATTTAAAAATAGTCAACTTAAACTCTTTAACTCTAGGTGACTTGTAAAATGAGCCTATTTCCTTTAACATATAATTAAAAGATGCGTATTTAACTATAATTACTTATACTGTACACATCATGAAAAACAGTGACTATTAGATAGATGTGTTGCTTTTGAAAAGTCATGTTTAATGTCACACAGCCATAATAAGGTCAATTTAATTCTTGGTAATGTAATCAAATCTTGTTTTTGCCTCACTGTTATAGGAAGTAAAATAAGCTAATTAAATGTCAGTACGAAGCTATTAAACTAAATCGCCTACGCATTGAGTGGAAACCCCCCTCTGCATCGTGTCTCCTCAGTTTGGCTCGCGCATGAATGTCAGTGTGTCAGTGAAATGTCATATACACACAAACACACATGTATGCACACTTTAGGCCGATTGCTGGGGAATGCGGTGAGGTCAGTACAGCTGTTTATGAAATAGTATAATATGACGGACTCTCAGCTTTTGCAGGTTTTGCAAGTGAGTCAGGGGATGCTTTTGCAGGTGGTTGTGCGAGTGGCCTGAGGTGGTTCTTATATGGGGCAGCCTGCTCGCATGTGTTTCTGAGTAAAACCACATTGTCCTCTTCTCTGCTGTCTCAGCAAAGAGCCCAGGTATCTGCAGAGACAAAACTGGATAAAGAGTACAGACAGAGAATGAGAAAGTGAGGTTAAAGTTTCCTGTAAAGCGGTAAGGCAGGTGCAAAACCAAACACAGACATTCACACAGGAACACTAAATGCATGCTAAGCTCCAGCATATAAACGAGGGCCATTAAATAACAACATGCAGAGGTTACTATACAGAGTTTTTTCTATATGTAAAACTGTCTGTCTGTTTCTTTGCTTTACTTTATACTTCATAATTTAGATTCTCATTCTCTTTTTTTTTAAGGTCACGGGCATTTAGACAAGTATTTCACTGCATATCGCACAGTGTATGACAGTGTTTGTGACAAAATTTGTTTTTGAAGTTATGAAAGCTCAACATTTGTTGGGTTAAAGTAGAAACGCTGGTCTGACATCTATTCAAAAAGCCACAGTTTCACCAACTTCAAGTAAATTACTCAAGAATTTGCTCATGTGTCATCTTACCAGCTCAGAGAGAAAAAATATGAGGAGAGGACAACACTGTGGTTGAAAATGTGAGAAGAATCAAGAGCGAAATAGAGAAAGAGGAAGCAATGTAGACATTTAAAGAAGCTTTAGCAGATTTTTACTATTTATTATCTACTTAATTTTAGCAAATGAGGCTAATAATTTTTAACAAAATATAGATATTTGATTTAATTATAAGTACAATATAAGTGGGTAAAAACCTAATAAAATAATTTTACATTAGCAAGCAGTGCTTATGTTTATCAAGACAATCAAAACAAAACCTTTGTTTACACGAATGCATTCATTACATACAGGTGTTTTACAATGAAACTGAAACACTGGCCAATTTAGTGTTGGGGGTTTCACTGTTAAATTTGATCAGTCTGGTTGCCAAACTACAATGATCGCACATTCCACCAGTCACACTAACCTTTGAGCGAGCAAAAATCAGTTGTATGGTGCTGCGAAAAGGGGTGGGGTTAAACAAGATGATTAGACATTTAAAAAAGCAAGCGATTGGTCCATATTTAAAACTTCTGTCCAGAGAGGTCATGTTTTGATCTTTGATTGGTCTCATACAGTCACGAGATGCGCTTTCGCTGGTCACAGTTCACCAAGCTTAAACTTTGCAACACAGCGAACTGTGAAACTTGTTGCATTAGCTTGCATTTCCGGTCTGATGCATTGGCATTCATATGAATGGAAGTGTATAGGGAGAAAAGTCCAGTATTACCGTGTGATAAAGAGTGTGAAGCTTTAATTAAAAGAGTAATAGGACAGTTTTGCTTAATATATGCCAATACACAATATTATGCAAAAATCTGCAATGAAAATCTTGGCATGTGGACAATGGGAAGCAGGTTTCTCTGATGAGTCCACCTTCTTTCTCACATCCAGGAGAGTTATGGTGTGGAGAAGCCCCAAGGAGCATACCACCAAGACTGTTGCATGCCCAGAATGAAGCATGAAGGTGGATCAGTGATAGTTTAAGCTAGGGATGTCCAGATTGTTGTTGTTTTTTTCGCCCTTGAGTTCAAGTCATTTGATTTTGAGTATCTACCGATACTTTTATAATACATGAGAAAAAGAATAAAGAATAGTGAAGAAACAGATCTAGCATGTTCCTTATTTTTTTTTTAAGACACTTTATTTTAACATTCAACAGCTCTGTTAACAAACAGAGCATTCAAGTACAATCAAGTAATAATTCTTCACTTTCGGACTTTAAAGCAACAGTAAATATAAAAAAGTATAATATAAAAACAAATAGCAGCTCAACTTAAAATACCCTGCAGGCAATCCCGTTTACATATCTCACAGTTTGCTACAGCAATGTTGTTGTTATCAACTTTATAATACCTCCAGACCGCAGACATACTCGAGCTTTTCGATTAAAGATGCTTTCATGTTCTACTTTGCCAGCATTTAACCAATAGTGTCTCTGCAACAAAGTGATGTCATGCCGCACGCGTTGCTTTTTCTGTGTGGTCAAAAAGAGGTCTAACTCTGTGCCATTGCATAACTATAGTGATGCTGTATTAAATGATTTAAAATAATGAGAATATATATATATATATATATATATATATATATATATATATATATATATATATATATATATATATATATGTCCTCCCTGATAGGGAGGTAATGTCCAATTCTGATCGAGGCTGAAACCATGTGCCCGATTTCCGATCACTTGATTGTAGTTTGGGCTACAATATCATGCCATTCTCCATGCCCACTACTTTTGTTGTGCTAGATTGGCATGTCACAGCCAAGGATTACTGAACCATTCTGGAGGCCCATATGCACCAAATGGTTTAAATGATGTATCCTGAAGGCAATGCTGTTTATCAATGATAATGCACCAGTACACACAGCAAGGCTGGCGACAGAGTGTTTTGATAAACATGAAAGTGAAGTATATTATGTTGAACATGATCTCCCATAGCCTGCACACTCACCAGCTCTAAATATTACTGATGTAAATATTAGGTGTAATATTTTGACAAACGACTTTATTCGCCATTATCTTTCCTTTTATGTCAGGTCAGGGTGCGCGTTATAAAGATCATTTCAACATATTGCCAGTCAGCAGTACCACACGCAAGTGTCTTATTGTCTGTAGTAAATGCACACTGGAGTAGGACCAAAGTTGTTTATTTAGATAAACAAAAATGTTCTTGTAGCTTCATATTATTAGTTACATCACTGATGACTGTTTTAATAGTGTTTATGTTTCCTTTTCTGGACATTTAACCTTTTGGGCTGCCTATGGAGGATGAGGGAGCTCTCAGATTTCCGAATATGCACGTAGGTCTCAGGGGATTGACATAAGGGTGAGTAATTAATAACAGAATTTACATTTACAGGTGTACTAACCCTTAAGTCATACCCCACCCCCCAAGATTCATTTGTGAGTTTTTAGATATATTTCAAGATGTCTTCTTAAATACATGACAAAAACTGACTCTTGCATATATTTCAGTAAAACGACAGAATAATGCATTGCATGAAGCACAATGAGATCATCAGATCTTTGTAGTTTGAGTGTTTGGCTGAGCAAACGTCACCACGTCAGCAGGCATCATCTGTGACATGTCCTCAATAAAGCGAAACCAACATATTTAAACATGTAGTAGGTCATCCACCTGACATTGCACATATTTAACTCACTTGTACATCTACTTAGTCTAATCTCCATCCTAGAATAAACTTCTTTTATTGTACAAAACGAGAAGGGTGGGCACCAGATCATTTTGTGCGCCTTGCCTTCATTATCTTTCAAATACACACTCTTCTTTAACATGACTCTGACCACAAAACCATTATCCAAGCTATACTGTGGCTAATGCAAACATTAGGATATCCTTTGCATGCACAGCTCAGGGGTTCCTAGTGAAATCACTAATAGATTTGTTGAGAGAAGCGAACAACTGTTGATGTAGTGAGAAGAGAGGAAGCTGAGCAGGAGGGGCTTCAGTCAGTAAATGTAGCTGTACTGTATGTCACTCAGCTAAATCACACCTTTGGAGTTTACAGCAGTGGAGCGCCAGTGTTTCTGCAGATGCTTGCATTTCAGATTTCTGCTGTTCATTTTATAGTGTGGACTCTAAAGTGAGCAAATGCATTTTAGTTGGTTTTGAGGACTTGATGCCCGGAAGTACATATTAGAAGTGGAAAAGATATGCAGACGTGACAGGTAAGTGTCAACTTTATTTGACTTCTTTACTCACCGAAAAGTCTGTTTAAGTTCCGCATAGAACAGTATGAGATGTTTTTTGTAGTATTGTAGTAGTTTGGGAAGTCAGATATTATGATATATATTTGCATAATCTGTACAGTACAATTAAAAATGACTTTTGAGTTCATTTGTTTAGTAACTTAAGAATTATGAGGGCTTTATTTACAGATATTTTGAGTAGATTTCTTGATTTTATTGGTATTATTGGTCAACACAACAAACAGAAATTTATTTATAATCACCAAGCGTGCTTATTACCTTTAATCTCTGAGAAGGACAGTCATATTATCTGTACTGTAGCTGTCTAACGTTGACATTTACTCATTTAGCTTTTATATAAAGCATTGCACTACAAATCTTTAGAGTGTTGCTTGTCATATAAATCAGGGGTTCTCAAACTTTTCAGCCTGCGACTCCTAAAAGAACAACTCCAGTGACTTGGAGATGGTTATAAACATGCAAATATTGCACACAATGGTGCACACAGACCAATAGGAACTATATAAACACGAGCATATTGACACACAAAACAACAATTGTAACAACAATTTTATTTTTCATAATCATCATTCCCTTAATTGAATATTAACATCACATAATGAGAATGTTGTGCACAATATTTACAGTACAAGACTTCTTGGTTTAGTTTTGGAGACCGCCACTTGGAGATCATCCTCCACGTTCAGTCGTGGGCTTTATTTTAATGGATGTGAGTGCCGTGAAGATGTCAAAGTTTAACATTGTGCCATAACATCAATCTTCTGCAACCAATGCTATTGCTATGACATTAATCTAGCATAATAACTTCATGGGTCCACACTGAAATGGGAAAAAAGCATTTAAAGGCTTATGGATTTTTATTTGCTTGTTGTTTTTTATGTAAATATGAAATATTAAGTATACATTAAACACATTATAAGTTAAAAACTTTTTTATCTTCTGTAGATTATAGATAAAACATGGTAATTGTAATAGTTTGATACCATATATGAGATTTTTTGGAAATCACCAAGCGACCCCCACTTTGGAAACCACTGATATGAACTACAAGATTATTTCATTTCCTTTGTGTATTACATTTGAGTGTCGGTCAGTTAACAAATACAGAAAATTGAAAATATTTTGAGAATATGCAGTAATACTTTATTTACACTGAATATTTGGAGTCAGATTTCTTGATTTTATTAGAGTTATTGTCAGTGGTGGAAAGAAACATGTGTAAACATAACATTCTGTAGTGTATTTAGTTTTTGCCTAGCAGGTACACAACATCATAAGATGTTAATATTAAATTAGATTTAGATTGTGATGTAAGGTGATCAAAATTCAGTGTCTAGCTAACGTCTAAAAAAGTTATTTTTCACGTCCAAAAATGACACTGATATTTGGTTAATTTTAGGTTGTTAGAAAGTTATCAAAATCCAACGTCGAGCTAACATCTTAAACTAACATCATATTGACATAAAATACTGACATTTATTCATCATAAATGGCAAGCAAAACCCAACGTGAAGTCATAGTGGTAACGTCCACAAAGCGTCAAGCTGTAACATCATTTCAGGTTGGACAGTGGACATTGACGTCGGCCTGACATTGAGTTCTGATGTAAACTCGATTTTTATTTCCAAACAAAAGGCATCATCCCCACGACGTTGGGGTATAATGTTAATCTGACGTCATGTTGATGTCCTGTGCCTGTTGGGTGTTTAAGGTCATTTCGGTCATCATACAGTAAACATTTTCTCTTCAGTGACATGCATCTAAACAGTCTCTGGGTCATTGTGTGTGATGATTTTGGACATCTTCTTGGACACTTTTAATGCTTTCAAACAGTTTGCTGTAATTATGTATCACCCATGTCTTGTGGTAGTTTATTAAGATGTGATTTACCTTTTTATGTGTGATTTGATTGGACAGGAACCACAGGACTGATTTTTATAATCCAAGAAAAAATAAAGTAGTGACTGCAGGTTGAAGGAAAGTAGTGGAGTAAAAGTACCGATAATGCACTAAAAACCTATTCAAAGGAAAGGAAAAGTACACATTTTTAAAACTGCTTAGTAAATTACAATTCCTGAGAAAAACTAATCCATTACGATAGTTTGAGTATTTATATTTTGTTACTTTACACCACTGGTTATTGTTACATGTCAGACAAAAATATATCTACAATTGATTAGCTTGCCTTTAAAAACTTTAAACTCAGTAAAGTTCTGCACGGTAGAAGTTTTGACAGTATTTGTCAGTTTTTTAAATACATTTAAGATCCCTAAAGTGTGAGGCTTGCACAAACTTGTTCAAAACTTTTTTTCATTCATCATTCAATATTGATGGGTGTCAAAATAAAAGCTTTGAAGTTACAAACATCACTCATAACACAACATTCCTGAAGATAGACTTCTTGTGCTTTTCCCTTTTTTTGATGTTTCCCGAAAGTCATTTAAGCCAAATATAAGTCAGGCAAATTGTAGGATGAGAATAGCACACCCTACTTACATAAATCACCTCTAAATCAGACAAACAAATCTAATTTTAGCTGCAGGAAGTGGATGGGTTTCTTCAATGTGCGCCTTAATAGAGCACTTCCTCGTCAGCTGTATGGTTACCATAGTGATCCAGCCCAGATTGAGTGCAGCATGGTTTCTGCGGTGGCATATAACTAAATGCTGGTGATGTTTCGCTATGTGTAGGCTTCATAAAAACAAATACAGAGGACACTGCAGACACGATTTAGCGCGCGATTAGGCTCTTGCTTTGGGTGAACTGTGGTAAACTATTTTTATCTGCTTTCTTTTGTCTTTGGATGTAAAGTAAGTGTTGCTTTGCACAATTTATTGAAGTTTGGGAGACTGAGGAGGGTTGTGGCGCTAATTAACACCTTTTTTTCACTGTCGTCTGCTGCAAATTAACTCATAAATCTAAATGGTGTAATGATTTACTTCACTGCTAACAAGAAAAAACACTGAATAAATACAAAAGCTTCTTATTAGTATGTGAAGACCTAAAAACTAAAATGTAACCTAAAATGTATTTTGAATAGGGGCGACATGGTGGCTTAGTGTTTAGCACTGTTGCCTCACAGCAAGAAGGTCGCTGGTTTAAGTCCCGGCTAGACCAGTTGGCATTTCTGTGTGGAGTTTGCATGTTCTGCATGTGTTCACGTAGGTTTCCTCCGGGTGTTTCAGTTTCCCCCACAAGTCCAAAGACATGAGTGTGTATGGATGAATGAGTGTGTATAGATCCCAGTATTGGGTTGCAGCTGGAGGGGCATTCGCTGTGTAAAACATATGCTTGATAAGTTGGCGGTTCATTCCGCTGTTGTGACCCCTGATGAATAAAAGGACAGAGCCGAAAGAAAATGGATGAATTCAGATTATGTCTGTCATCATTTAATCACTCTTTACTTGTTTCAAACCTGTTGGACTTTATTTCTTCTGTTGAACACTAAAGATATTTTGAAGAAAGCTGAAAACCTGTAACCATTGACTTCCATAGTATTTGTTTTTTTCCTACTATGAATGTCAGTGGTCTTCCTCAAAATATCATGTTTTCTAGGAAACACATACAAGTTTGGAACCATTTGAGAGAGTAAAAAGTGAGTAAGTTAAAATTTTTGAGTGAACTATCCCTTTAAGTCAGGGCAGACACATCCCACAGCATTTAATATTTCAATGCACTGCAAATTTTTTTTAACTGAAATCAGTTTTTTTTTGTTTGTTTTCTAATATGAACTACAGATAGATTTACTTCTTATTCGTTTATTCATTCATTTTCTTTTCGTCTTAATCCCTTTATTAATCTGGGGTCGCCACAGCGGAATGAATCGCCAACTTATCCAGCATATGTTTTACACAGCGGATGCCCCTCCAGCTGCAAACCTTCACTGGGAAACACTCATACAAACTCATTCACACACATATACTACGGACAATTTATCCTACCCAATTCACCTGTACTGCATGTCGTTGGACTTGTGAAAGAGGCCAGAGCACCCAGAGGAAACCCAAGCGAACACGGGGAGAACATGCAAACTCCACACAGAACTGCCAGCTAACCTAGCCAGGCTTGAACCAGCGACCTTCTTGTTATGAGCCGATTGTGCTACCCACTGCATGTGTCACCCCTACTTCTTATTTACAATTAAAAGTCTTGTTTTTTTGTGAAGGAAATGTTTTTAGCTTTCTCAAAATGAACGAATAAATGGGGTTTAGTATGAGAAGTATGTTTCCTTTCCAGATATTTGTTCTTTAATAATTTTAAATAATATATTTCGAGCAATTTTTCAGAAAACAAGAGTTTTATAATTTTTCTACTGGAAAAACTTTTCTTTGTGCGTGGTGCTATTTCAAAATTCTACTGATTGAGAGCAGAGGAATTAATCCATCAGCTTTTTTGATGTTGCTGTCTTGTTCCTAACCCCCTTTTACTTTGTTTTGATCCGTTTGTTGATATTGTAAATATCAGTCTCTGTAAATACACGGTGAGAAGCAGTAGGGGTAAATATTTTCTCTTGTTTTTATGTATATGTACAGGAGTGAGGTTTAGGATTTTATGTTTATTTCTGTTATTTTCTTTGTAAGGTGTATGTAAGTGTGGTTGTTTAGGTTGTGTGTACTTTTTGTTTATTATTTTGTTGTGGGTCTTCTCCGAGATATAGGCTTCAGGTTTTGGGTGAAAAAAAGAAGAAAAAGACAAAAAAAAAAAGACAAATAAACTCCTAGAATCATAAAAGTAAATTTTATTTGTCCAAGTGTTCTTTTATGTTGCGTCCCTGATCCTCGACAAGGGTCGTAACACTGATTCATGTTTTTTACTTGGGTTTTTTAAATGTTTGGTGCGCTCTGCAGCCTGTTCCTAACTAACACACTGGTGTCATCCTCATCATTCAGATGTCTCACCATCAGCAGCACCGGACACTGGAGAGAGGGAGGAGGAGCACACAAGAGGACAAACTGTCTTTGAGGAAAGAGAGCGAACAAAGTACTCTCATGCTTTCTTTACAAATTTTATTTTGTCATCATCTCACTTGTTCCAAGCCTGTTTGAGTTTTTTTTTTCTTCTGTTGAACACAAAAGGAGATATTTTGAAGAAAGTTGGAAACCTTTAACCAGTATTTTTACCAACTATGGATTATAGTGACTACTGGAAAATACCAGTATATTGAACATTCTTCAATATATCTTCTTTTTTGCTCAACAGAAAAAAAGAAAGTCGTGAAGGTTTGGAACTATCTGAGGATGAGGAAATCGTGAGGAAATTTTTGGGTTAACTATACCTTTTTAAAAATTTAGGTGAACTAACTTTTTTTATTTAAAAAAATCATCAAAATATAATTGAACTGCAAGTTAAATACTCAAAACAGTGTGTAAACCCATATAGAAAATACAGAAACATTTTGAAATGTCATATAAGGAAAATAAAAACAATACCTTAATTGTTTTAATCATCTAAGCCAGGGATGTCCAAACTCAGTCCTGGATGGCCGGTGTGTCCTGCAGAGCAATTGCTCCATGGTTTAAATTTCTGTCCAGAGCGGTCATTTTTTGATCCTTGATTGGTCTCACGCAGTCAAGTGATGCGATTTCGCAGGTCAGAGTTCACCAAGCTTGAACTTTGCACCGCAGCAACCTGCGAAACTTGATGCATGACCTTGCGTTTCTGATCTGATGCATTTGCGTGCGTATGAATGGAAGTCTATGGGAGAAAAATCCTACTGTGACTGCAACTTAAGAGCTTGATTAGCTTGCCCAGGTAACTTTGCAGGACACCGGCCTTCCTTTCTGACCCTGATGTGTTCTTTTAAGCTGTTTTTAATCATCTGAACTGTGATTTGATGGTTTTTACTCAGCAGGTGCTGGCTGTAGTCTCTCGGTGAGAAGAAAGCTGTATGAGTATATCTGCAATAAGCAGCACAGGTTAGTAACAATAAAACTGCAATTACTGCTCTGCAAGGATTAATGGCCTTTGTCAACAACCTTACGCCCTATTCACACGGGGCTTCAGCGTCAACGCTTGACAGAGGGCGTGTCTGAAGTTGGAGCTGAAACGATCGTCATAGAAGCGTCAGCCAATGAAATTCAGTCAGGGTCTGTCATCATTACTGAACACTTGGGCTTGTCCATTGGAAATATTCAATAAAAGTCTAATCTCATTTAGTAAATTGTGTATACTTACATATTTGGGACATGTGCTGTAATACTTTTAGATACTAAATACGCATGATAGATTTTTTGGGGGGTGGTCCCTATCAAAAATCCGGTGCAATGTGCTGTGGTGGAATCTGGTTCTGTTGAAGCCAGCTTATTTCTAACGATTGGTTTAGTGTTGATATTATTTAAAATTTTTATTATTTGCGTAATTATATTTGTTTTAATCATTTTGTGTTTAGATTTGTCCATCTGTTGGGTTTTAAAGAGGTGTGTACCATAGGGTATAAAACTAGGAAGTGTGTTTTGATGTGAGTCACAGTTTTTTGACCACCCTTCATTTTTATTGTTCATTTATTAGTTTGCTGGAAATTGGAAATGAATTTAGAAATAGTTTGAAACGAATCTTTGCATGTAACAAAATTATGAAATTAAATATGTAATGGATGTGGAGTGCGTCCACCTGTTTCCCGAATCCACTGTGGAAAGGATAAAGCCGAATGGATGAGGATGATCATCTACAGAATGATGGCCTTTGACCATTTTGTGGATAGTGATCAGTTTTTCCGCTTACAAAATTTGCCATGTAAATAGCAAAAATGCCCCATTGCGACACTCTCAGACTCTAACATACTATGGCAGATGAGATTCTGATTGGTTTAATGCATGTTATGCCCCAAAAAACACTTATAACTCATTATAAGAATAAGGACAACACTTTTTGGCAATGCGCCTGGTGCACAGACCATTTTTCCTGTGCTTAAAAGTGGATTCAGACACAATCTAAGTTAGACCATGCTTGGCTAATATCATTCAAATAATGCCCAATGATGTTTAAGAACGTCTAATCTTTGATGCATAAATGTAATTTTGGACCACAAAACCATTCATAACAGTTTTTTTTTTAAATTAAGATGTTTATAAATATTTTGAAATCTGAATAAATAAGCTTTGCATTGATTTATGGGTTGTTAGGACAGAACGTGTTGCCAATATTTGATTGACATACAACTGTTTCAATATCTGCTATCTGAAGATTAAAAAAAATCTACATATTGAGAAATCTCATATTGCTTTTTAATTTTTTTTGGGCATGAAAAAAAATAAAAAAAAATAAATACTCATACCCTAAAATTAAGGTTTCGTGCACCAGGGTCACATATGAAGCTTTTACTGCATTTAATTTCGATTTTAAACCGGAGTGTTTTTGTTGTTGGTGTTGTTCAGGACATCTGCAGGTCAGGACATACAGCAGCGTGAATTAGACCGACAGGAAGAGGACAATCCACTAAGAAGAACAGGTGACGCATCTGCACATCGACTTAAACTCTGTTACTTTACCTGTCTGAAAATAACTTGACGAATGGCAATCTTAATATTTATAATTTAATCATAAAAATGTGTGTGTTTGTGTGTGAAGCCTCTGAGCCTATTCTGAAGCTGCGATCAAAGAGAAGTATGACGGGGAGACAGAATCCATTGCAGCGTAAAACCAGCGCGCCCCCTGCTGTCGGGGATCCAGACTCCATGGGTGAGGATTCACTTTGTTCTTTCATATACTCATGTTTTTTTCTAGTCTAAGCACAAAGATTCAAAAAGGATGTTTTTATTTTATAGCGGTTTCTGCCAGTTCTGCTACAGTTTCATCACTAGATAATCAAATGAATCGTCAAGAGCTGATTCAAACCACAACCTACAGTGCATCATCAGGCAAGGTCTGTTACTGCTTTTAAGATAATCAAGCATTATTATTTAGCAGTATTGGGGGAAAAGTAATATATTACAATCTTAAGTCACTTAAAAAATGCAGTAAATTATGTTACTTGGTTACCTTTGGAGGAAAGTGTGTAGACTAAGTATGAATATATGTTTGCATTTTTAAAAAGAGTTTTAGGCTTAAAATTGTAATATATTACTTAGTTTTACCCAAACATGTTTCTATATTTAATTGTGTGTGGCTATTGTTTAAGCAACTTGTAGAACTACACTTTAATAGAACTGTTTTCTGTTTTAATATATATATAATCTGTTCATGTGATGACAACACACTCACCGGCCACTTTATTAGGTACACCTGACCAACTGCTCATTAACACAAATTTATAATCAGCCAATCGCATGGCAGAAACTCAAAGCATTTATTCAAGTAGACTTGATTAAGACGATCTGCTGTAGTTCAAACTGAGCATTAGAATGGGGAAGAAAGTTGATTTAAGTGACTTTGAACTTGGCATGGTTGTTGGTGCCAGACAGGCTGGTCTGAGTACTTCAGAAACTGCTGATCTACTGAGATTTTCACTCAAAACCATCTACCGTCTGTGGGCCCAAATGCCTTGTTGATGCCAGAGATCAGAGGAGAATGGCCAGACTGGTTCAAGCTGATAGAAAGGCAACAGTAACTTAAATAACCACTCGCTACAACTGAGGTTTGCAGAAGAGCATCTCTGAACACACAACACATCAAACCTTGAAGCAGATGGGCTACAGCAGCAGAAGACCACACCGGGTGCCACTCCTGTCACCGAAGGACAGGACACTGGGGCTACAATTCGCACAGGCTCACCAAAATTGGACAAAAGATAATTGGAAAAACGTTGCCTGGTCTGATGAGTCTTGTAATGGTCTTGGTGTAATGGTGTGGGGGATATTTTCTTGCCACACTTTGGCCCATTAGTACTAGTTGAACATCGTGTCAATACCACAGCCTACCAAAGTATTGTTGCTGACCATGTCCATCACTTTATCAGCTTTATGACCACAGTGTACCCATCTTCTGATGGCTACTTTCAGCAGGATAACGTGCCATGTCATAAAGCGTGAATCATCTCAGACTGGTTTCTTGAACATGACAATGAGTTCACTGTACTCAAATGGCCACCACAGTCACCAAAGCTCAATCCAATAGAGCACATTTGGGATGTGGTGGAACGGGAGATTCGCATCATGGATGTGCAGCCAACAAATCTGCAGCAACTGCGTAATGCTATCATGTCGATATGGACCAAAATCTCTGAGGAATATTTCCAATACCTTGTTAAATCTATGCCACAAAGAATTAAGGCAGTCCTGATGGCAAAAGGGGTCCAACCTGGTACTAATAAGGTGTACCTAATAAAGTGGCCGGTGAGTGTATACTTTCAGCAATCATTACTGCAGTCTTTAGTGTAACATGATGTCTCGGAAATGACCTAATACACTGACGTTATTCTCTTAGTAATATTAACAGTTGTGCTGCTGTTATTACTTACTAAATAGAATGTTTGACTCTGTTATTACAGAGAAACAATTAAACTATTTATTTTGATTATATATGCCATATATATTTTTTTTCATTTAGTTTAATCCACTACAGAGAAAAATAATATGTCATTATAAATGTCTTTACTAAGACTTCTAATCAATATAATGCATCTTTGCTAAAAAATAAATAGTACCGTAAGTAGGTAACACCACTGCTCATTTCTTCAGGAAGACTCTCCTTTACAAATCAGCATTCAGCACCCCGTCCTCTGGCCTGCATATGCTGCCACTGCTTACAATCCTCAGGTCTTCACTCTTTATCCACATATTTTTACAGGTAACGCATACATCCACATTTTGAGATCATTAAATCTGTGTAAATGAGAAAAGGTGAAGGTAATTTGCATTGAATCTCTATCACAGTTACTGGGCAGCAGTGGCCGCCGATGCCTCATAGACCTTTAATCAAATCCCAGTCAGCACCTTCTTATATACAGCAATACACACATATACACACTCCGGCTTATACACTGGTACAACCCATGTACCAACAACAGTGGCCACAAGAGACATTCCAGCAACACACCCTTCCAGAAAAGGTAAGAAAGTGAATAATTCATAAATGCTTTAAAGGAAAAAAAGTTGAGAAAAATGAAAATTCTGTCATCATTTTACTCCCTTCACATTCCAAACCTGTTTGACTTTCTTCTATTGAACACAAAAGAAGATATTTCGAAGAAAGCTGGAAACCTGTAGCCATTGACTGTCATGATCACCAGCGATCCACTCCTGACCGATCGCTGATGAACTACATATGTCTTGTTAAGGAACTACAAATCCCATCAGGCCATGTCACACACACCAGTTGTTGATCATGGCTGACAAACAAAGCTGACCCTTGTAATCACTGATCATTCAGACTATTTACACAACACATACACCAGTTTAGCACGGAGTCTTTAATGTGTGCACGTTGCATGGTTCTTTGTGTTGCCTGTTTGTATTTTTGACCTTAGCCTTGTTTAGTGTTTGATTTTGTTTTGCCGCCTATTTTCAACCTCATGCCTGATTTTGACTACGTTTTTCAATCTTCCTTTATATACCAGCTACTAGTGGAGTGCAGAGCAAGGCTTCATGAAACACTGAAACTGTTGAATGTTTTGAAACCCACTCTACAGTGACACCTAGTGGTTGTTTTTTATATATCGCTCTGGAACAGCTTCAGCAAAGAATCCGTTAAACACATCGAGGTATTAAACCCCACGTTGTAGAGTTGAAGCTTCAAAGTGATATTAGTGATTTAATCTAGCATGCAGAGATAATGGGATTGAATCCAGATTGATGCAGCTATAAATGTTGAGTTTTTAATGCTCTGTTTTTATAACGTGTATCGTTCAAACATTGGTCTGACATCCAGATGAACACTTTGTGTATAAATATGTCTTGTTTTGGTCATAAACCATGTGGTCATGCTTTGATGCAGTGTTTCGACTCACTTGCGCTTCGGAATCTCGACACTGTGTTAACGTCAGTTTCACAGAGAGGGGTCTGGATGCAGACCTGGTGCAGTGCAATCTGGGCTGCATCCAATGCTTTTTAATGGGCTCACCTAACCCCACCCCTAACCATCACAGTGACGTCACTCACTCCATTTGAGTGCATTGTGTCTGACACTGCATCACTGAGTGATGCAATCTCAGCTTGCATCATAAAGGCTGCATCCAGATACTATTGGTTTCACATCAACCATCCATACCAGCTACTCCTGTTTTGACCTTAAACCAGCAATTGGTTCCTTACCACTGTTGTCCCACGTCGTTCTCCCGCATGTGACATTGACTTCCATAATATTTGTTTTACTACTAGGGATGTCAATGGTTACAGGTTTGCAGCTTTTTTCAAAATATTTTCTGTGTTCAGCTGAAGAAAGAAAGTAAAACTGGTTTGAGTAAATAGAGGGTAGTTTGTATAGTAAGTACATTTTCATTTTTGGTTGAACCGTCACTTCAACTTCTGTTTAGTCAGGCCCGGCGCCAGGATGTCAGAACTGAGGGGGCATTTTAAATCCATAGGGGGGCACTAGACATGGTGGCTGATTTTGGTCTCTCTTGTTCCTTTCATTTAGGCTATTTATTCACATTTATTATTACTTTACTTTGTTACTGACCTAAGGCAGTAATATACGTTTTAATAGTAATAATAATATGCACAGTTTCGCTATTACTGATTTTATTATGCAACGATACCGCTTATTAATGCAGACGGATCATGGCTTCAGTGCCAAACGAGTGCTTTAAATCATATGTTATTCTCCTTATTTATTTCAATTTTATTTCAAATAGCAGGCATTTGAATGTTAAAAGTTTTAGGTAAAGACGTCAAATTATGCCCACACATGCAAGCTGACCCACGATCAGACTATTCGTAACCGGTAAATAAATATAGTGAAATCAGCTTAACCGAGTCATCACGCTTCACGTGGCCCATTATCCAATCAACATCAGTGTTAGGGAAAAGCTAAATGTTACAATCTAATGTCATTCAAAACAATGACTTAGTTACATTTTAAGGCATTAGTGTAGCCAGAAAAATACCTAAAAAAGAGACCAAAATTCACAGTTATTACCGTAAAAATTAGTTTGGCACGGATAACACAACTCAATAGGCTATAAAACTTTTTTCATCATTTTAAATGTAAAAATAAAGATTTATCTTAGGCTATCATAAGTGTGTTTTTTTTTTTCGTGATATTGTCAGCTTGTCATTTGTAAACCATCATAAACCATTAGGTTACTTGGCCTACCCGTCATTTTATTTATTAATTTATAATACATTTTAATAACTTGTTTTCAGGTTATTTTTATTTTAGGGCCATGAGCTACAAGTCAAAACAAATTCGATATGCTGTAGGTTTATAATATATTTAATGTTTTTTAATTTTGCATAAGCAAATAGCAGTATAGCCTTAATTACATATTTTAAAAAGATTATCATCCAGCCTACCTGCAGCATGTGAGAGGTTTCTCGGTTGATCCGCGGTAAATCCACTTAAGCAATATATTCAATTTATAACACTGCAAACTTGACTTCGCAGGCCGATCATCTTTAAACGCAAAAGGCATTTATTAAGTGTTATACCTTGACTGCTGCTGCATAATGGGATGTTTCTCTACACAACTGTAAAAGTGCGCTTTTTAGCAATGTCAAAATGAAAGCAAACAATCAAAGGGTTCTGCGTTTTGTCAATTTTAGCTTAATTGTAATCATATTATTAGTAATATTAATAAATAAATTAAAATATTATTTATAGTGTAGCCTTCTGTGGGACTGTGCAGTAAACTATTTGTTTTTATTAAAACATTTTATTAGGCTACATCTTCCCGAATAATGAAAATGACTGGCAGTTGCGTCTCTGCTAAAATTAATTTATCAGCAAATTTCTTCTGCGTTTCTTCCTTTTAGAGCTCAAGAGAGTTGTGTTTAAAGAATTAGTTGACCAAAACATGTAATGAATTAAGCTGCTCCTATCATGTCACCCACTTTTCTCACTTGTGAGTTGAGTGCGCCTCCATCGCCGCGTGCGCGTTTTATTTACGGGCGCACCTGACCTAACGCAGGGACCGGATCTCTGGACTATAGGACTAGCTTTAATCTCACCATTTTCATAATTCAATTGCTATGTCATATATTTTAAAATATTTAAATGTGTGTTCTAAAGGTTGGAACGACGGGAGTGTTAATAATTAATGACAGAAAGAATTTTCCGTTTTGAGTGAACAATCCTTTATAAAAACTGGGGGGGCACAAATTCTTTCTGAGGGGGCAATGCCCCCCTTTGCCCCCCCGTAGCGCCGGGCCTGTGTTTAGTTAACCTTACGGTGAACCCCACACCTCTTAGATAAGGTTACTAACTTGGACAAACAGTTGCTAACTGTCTTCACTTGAACGCTGTCAGTGTGAAATAACTAGATGTTTTCAGGGTTCCCAATGGTCATGAAATTTCTGGAATATCATGAAATTTAAAAGGTCTGTTCCAATCTTTGATAGACAGAAAAGTTTATAAATATATCCAAATTCAATTCATTTTTATTTATGTAGCGCTTTTATATTGTTGGTTGTGTCAAAGCAGCTTAACATAGAAGTTCTAGTAAATTGAAACTGTGTCAGTCCAGTTTTCAGTTAAATTTACTTGACTTAAATTTACATTTTATTTATTTATTTATACCATATTTTCCCCCTTGTAGTTATAGTTAAGCTATTTTTCAGTGCCTTTTTTTCTTATCAATCAGCAATAAGTCAATTGCTAAGCTTTGCCTGGAAAATGTACATTTCAAGAGAATTGGCTACAAAATGACCACTTCAAATGATGGATGTTAAAAGTAGAAGCTGAAATCCTGTTGTGCCTGAAGCTTTCTGTTTCCCACCGGTCAAAAAGAGGTATGTAGTTATAATGTTGGCTAGCTAGTTATCAATTAAAAAGTAGCCAAAATGTAGCTTATGTTAGATAGCTTAAGCAGTCACTGACAGAACGAAACATGTAGCTACCTGGGCTGTGAGTCAATTACTGTAAATTCCTTACATTTTTTATTATTTTTTTTACCATCAGTTCTTTAAAGGTCTAGGAAATTCAGCTTTTTAGTTAGTGAAAGTCAGGAAATTAGACATTTGGTTTTGAGTGGGCTGTCCATGATGAATATTGTTAATGTACTGAAGGGAAAGAAATTATTTTACATTTAATGCACTTTGCTAGGGGCAAATTACTTTTTAGCTAATGTTAGCATGAGCTGAAGTTAGTGCTTCTTATCTAATACCTATGCTACAGCAATACAAGGGTTGAGTTAAGTAACTAGGTGATTTTAGTAAAGTTACAAGTACCTAGACAGGTATATTTACCATTTGTAGTGACACAAATGATCATTTTGTCACTTGAGCTGTTGTAAGGTTGTTTCTGACGCGTGAGATCTCAACAAACGAATCATCTTCCAAATACTGCTTATCAGGTTTATTTTTTAACAGATAGTTCTTTTGGCTCAATTTCCACTTACAGTCTGGTACATAAATGCTCATAAAATCACATTGAATGCCTCCACAAAGTTCCTTCCAAACACGGTCAAAAAATGTGCTTCCCTCTAATTACACACCTGCTGTTCTAACTCTTTGCCTACCTATATACTCCTTAAACCCCACACTCCACCCAGTGGTCAAAAACAGCATTACAACAAACACAATGGCTCTTGCTCTAACACCATTTCTATAACACCATCAATCCAATTGGAGCTCCATGCTTCTGAAACCTAAAGATGTCAGATTTCTGGTCCTCGTGCAACTGGCATTGGCTCATCTGCACCAAGGGAGGGGCTTATCTGTAGGTCAAACTGAATGTATGAATGGTTTTATAAAATGTTAATTATATTTCTTAGGTTTCAGTTGGCCCAGCATGGCCTGAGTCTCCTGGAGATCTGGGAAGGTTCAGAAAGAGAACAAGTGAGGAAGTACGCATTTCATCTCAATCCCCGCTTGAAAGCTGTAATCGACAGGGAGTTCAGCTGAAAGAAAACTTGGAATGGAGACACAAAATATTTCACCAGCAGGTTTCACGTGTGCATTCCTTTCCAGACACCTTTGACACACGTCTGTCTTCACATTCAGCCTCAGCTCTGGACATGAGAAAACCAAACTTCACCACAGGTTGGAAAAAAGACTTAATGATGAGAAAGTGTCTTAAGACTAATTCATTTGGGATGACTAAAATACTATTTCTTATACAGTTATTCATGAAATTTACTGACGCAGGTAGGTCACGTGACCATGACAAAATGGCGGATGTAGTATGTCCGAATTCCATTCATACTTTTTACATTCATACTGTATAAAATGTCCTTTTCTAACGGTCGAGTAGTACGTTTAAATTCAAATGCAGTACCTACGCGGTTTCGGACGCAGCCCTGGTTGTTGTGAACTAGGCCACATAACACAAAAAAAAAACTATTGAATCTTGTCACGGCACTCATTTGTCATTTACGACTCCCTACGACCCCCTACGTCAAGGAAATGGTGGCAAAATCGTGTGATCTGACCGGGGCTTTATTTAAGTTTTCTATACTATGCTTCAAAAAAGATGTAACTAAAGAAAAATGCCTAAAATGGCTCTTTTTCTGCTAGATCATTAGGATAATTTCAAATAGCACTAAGCAGTGACTTTGAAATAAACAAACTGTATGTTGTTCTCTAATTTTGATCGCCAATGTAATATTTATGGAAATAAATATATGCTTTATTATCAAAATTATAATTATTTAGCAATTTTCTACATGAAAAGTTAGAGCAGAGTTCAAGATCCCATAATGCAAAACATTATGAAAGCTTTTTAAGCAAAATTCAATATAGTTTCATTCCAAAATAAATCAATGTTAAATGGTCGTTGAGGGAGGTGTCGTGGACGCTGCCCTCTCTATTTTGCCGCCCTAGGTGGTTGCCAAGATCGCCTCTATAGACACGCCGGCCCTGATGATATGTTTCGGATTTGAATCAACTTTTAGTTTAAAGCTCTATTACCATGACAATATTAAATTGAATAAAATTTGTGAACATTTGTAAAAAAAAAAAAAAAAAAAAGTACAGAAGCACAGGCTGGCAATCTGCAACATGCAACTATGAATTGTCCCGTTGTTGTTGATTTGAATATTAGGAACTATCTCTTATACTAAACGTTACATTGTAGGCTTGGTGTATGAGATGATGAAGCATAGGTGTGACTGTAGAGACAGCAGCTGTGGTCTTCATGAAGCTGACCGAGTTACAAGTATCTGGTCAAGACTGCAGGAGTGTGGCCTGAGGAGTCAGTGTAAGGTAAACATCACTGAAGCACTCACGTAAGCTAAAAGAGTTTACTGCACTTACATTTACACTCATGCTTGTGTTTTAGCTGCTTAAAGGCAGGTCAGCCACTGTCGAGGAGCTACTCTCAGTCCATTCAGAGGAACTTGTTTGTTTTTTCACTGGACCAGAACCATATCGAAGTCAAATGGACATTGGTACGATGTGGAAAAATCCCAGAAATTCAGAGGCACTGAAGATGGCTGTTGGTAGCGTGACAGAGCTAGCGCTGTGTGTGGCCAGAGGAGACCTGAGGGTGAGATTATTATAGTCCACTATTCATTCCTCTGTTACTACAAACAAATATCTCATTCCTTGTTTTTCTCTGGTTCATCCTCAGAATGGCTTTGCTGTAGTCACACCTCCTGGACATCATGCATCACGTTCTCAAACACTGTGAGTTTCTAAATCATTACACGCAATTACAGAGAGACTTTAGAAATGATGATGAAGATGTCTACAGCATGAGAACTAAAATCATTAAATGACCTTCAACAATTACTAAATTTCCTACAGAATGTTACGTTTTCACACACACACGTGAACAAATAGCATGTAAATGCATCAAACTTTCACATCGTAATACTCACGACTCTTGAGTACTTTTAAAAGGGCTTCTTTATACTGATACTTTGAGTAATATTTACAACAGATACTTTTCCTCTACTTGCACTACATTCTTGGGCAAGTAACAGTAATTTGACTTGAGTATGATTTTTTCAGTTCGCTAATCGAAATTGCACTTAATATAAAAACAGACTAATACACTCTTGTCAGTCAACACGAGACAATTATGTGTAAAGAAAATTTATACATTTAAATTCATTTTTATTTGTTTTTATATTCTTAGTAGTAAAAATGGTGGATTAGGTATATTGAACGTGGTTAACATAAAACATGATATTCTGATGAGTGTTGGAAACCAGCAGCCATTGAGATCGGATGTGCTATAAATATTATGGAGGTCAATGGCTGTTTTTTCCAACACTCTTCAATTTCCTTTGAGTTTGTTGAACAGAAGAAAGAAACTCAAACAGGTTTGGAACAAGTGGAGGATGAATAAATCATAACAGAATGATCAAAACACCACACAAATAAAGTTTCATGACTCTTTAAAACTGCCCTTTGAATGCTTTAATAAAAGTGTTGTTTTGGTAACTGTCACTTTAAATTTAAATAAGATTATGCTCTTATCAAAGGAGGGCGGAGCTACAAACTCTGCAGATTCCAAACATTACTAATGTTATCTCTGAAAAACGAAGGTAGTCTATGGAGAATACAGTTCATTTGTGCATCCCAAAACTCCACATTTAAAATGCCTCTTAGGACTCTATTTTAACGATCTAGGTGCAAAGTCTGAAGCGCATGGTGCAAAAGCATTAAGGGCTTATCCGAATCCACTTTTGCAATTTTAAGGATGGAAAACTACGCTCTGCGCCACGGCGCATGGTCTAACAGGGTTAAGCTTATTTTCTTAATGAGTTATGGGTGTGTTTTGAGAACAAACCAATTAGAGTCTCATCTCCTATTCCCTTTATTCCCTGGAGAAAACAGTTAAACAGATCATCTGCAGCGAGAGGATGAGAGAATGAGCCTCCGCCAATCGGCCTTTACTTTTACTTTTACTTTCTCTCTTTTGTGGATAAGGAAACGTGTTGTACGCACAGACATCCATTAGCTTACAGAATTAATTTTGCTTGTTAAGCGCAAAGATTTGTTTCAAAACTATTTGTAAATTCAGTTCTAATTTCCAGCAAATGAATAAATGAACAACAATATTGAACTGTGGTCAAACAACCAAGTTATATCTAAATACACATGCTATGCCCTATATGGTCTAAAACCTGACAGATAGACAAATCTAAACTTGTTTTTAATAAAACAAATATAAATATGCATTTAATAAATAATACTACTAATAAAAACATTATACCAAAGCATATTGTGTGAAAATTCTAATGGTAGATGGCTGCTTCTAACTCAGGGCTGTCTATGCCAGGGCTATTCAATTGGTGGCCCGCGGGCTGAACGTGGCCCCCGAGGCAATTTTTTCCGGCCCTTCTAATAGTGCAATCAAGACATAAAAAATAAATTTAGTTCAGTGGAAAAACGCCGCTACATAGTTATGAAGTGACATACGTCTATTCAATACAGCACGAGCTGCAGAAGCTGCGCAGAGCGTGAGTCACCATAAGCGAGTGGTGCGAGCAGGAGATGCAATGATTAGCCGATTTCACTATTAACTGCGCTTTAATTCGTCACAGTTAATTAATCGTAAAGGCTTCTCAATGCCGCATTTCTGTTGCACGGAATGAAACGAAACTGCTGCAACTAAACCAAGTTATGCCAAGTTGCCAACTTTCCGCTAGTTTAAAGTTCCTAGTAAGTACACCAAGGGTAATACGCAAGCACACAAACAGGATTAACTGAAGCACTTTTCCGCTTGCAAGTTTGTTATTTCTAATGTAAGAATATTTGACTATGCGCACACAGGTGGAGTGATGCGCTCATATGCAATTTTGTTATCACTTAAATGGCAAGTCATATCTCTCGGGCCCTTCGTTTCGGATGCTTTTTATGAACCGCCCCCCGTGACAAACTAATGGAATAGCCCTGGAATTTGCTAATAAGGGAGAGATTGCCACTAGTTAGCAGAGCTTTCCCCCTCAGATGACATGTACAAAGGCAGAATGTCAATCAAAGTGTCTTTACAGACTGTTTTTTTATAAAGGATGATTATAAAAACATAATCAATAATTTTTTTCCAATTGAGGCTGGCAATATTCACACACTGTTGACACACAACTGACCCCTATAAAAGTGAGTTTTGCATAATAGGTCACCTTAATTCAGCAGAAACA